GCATGGCGATACCTCTCGGCGTCGTTCGAAACATGCTCGTGAATTTTGAGTAACCCGTGAACCGCATGCCTTTCGTGAACATTCCAGGCTTGGTGCGGCAGCGATCCCGCAGCACGTCGAAGCACCGCCTCATCTTCTGCAGGATGCGGTGCACGTGGGGATCTGTCGTTAAATCGATCGCCGTCGTTGCTCCATGCCCGTCTCGTTGTTGCCCCTTAAATGGTACATGAGCCATCTGATACAACAAAACGATGTCAGCTTGGCCTCACGAAACAGGGGGACGAGCAATGATCATATGATCAGGCTTGCGTTGGTTTCGGTACCCCTCGAAATCTCCTGCACCGCCTTGAATAGTATAATCCGATCCAGTCTGAGAAGGAAGCGTCTCAACCTCCACATACTGACCGAAACTTGCGCACACCTTTCCAAGGGTACCGTCGTGTACGAACCATCCCCAAATGCAATTATGTCCAGTGCTATGCTCCTTCAGGTACTTATCAGCGTGGGAGGTGACGGACTGGTGGATAGCGAAGTGACCTTCAAACTGCAAGGTCTGTTCGTCCTTGGCCTTCGGTTCCTCGTCGTATGAAAACGCATAGTAACAATTCTCGTAAGCGATGCCCTCGTTGTCATAGTCATTGCGGTCGTTCTGAGAGGTGGCTGGTTGTCCCGTCGGTCGCAATATGTTTGTCATTTATGGCCGTCATCACTACATTTTGAGGCTTCACCTCAGAAAGCAGATCAACGTCAACATGCTTTTTGACAGGCGAGAGCTCCACATCAAACCAGCCACGGTCGGTTGCTATTGCGATAGTCTCGAACAGAGCTCCATTCAGCAGTAACTCCTTGCGACAGTAGAAGTGTAGTCTTTCCAGGAAGTTTGCGAACACAGTCGCTTGGATACGCCGCAAAGATTCAGGAAACTCTGCAAGGCGCGTCGCGTGCAGCACGCTATCATTACCACACTTGAGTATTCGATGACACCTCGCAGTCTTGATGTGCTCGGCCATGCCTTTGCCATGCGCAATCCGTAATCGCTTCTGCCAAGCATTGTCTCCCATGTCTGGAAACGTACATCCGCTATCCTCAACGGCAGTGTCGGGCTCGACGTGCAGAACCTGCTCGAAGCCGTCACCCATGTTCTCCTCCGTGGTCTCCTCCTTCGCGATGTTTGGGCACTCGCTCCACACCTCTTCCAACGCGTGAGGTTCCTCCGCGTCACCGTCACCGGCAGGCGTTGCGCCTCTGGACTCTAGCCGACATCTCTTGTGAAACGGGGCCCGTGCTGCTGGGTATATAGCCCCACTCGATTTAGTTCCCGCCGGCGGCGACGCGCCGGACACGAAGGCAGACCTCGGAGTAGATCGGGGTGCTGCGAAGCGTGGTGCTGCGAAGCGTGGTGCTGCTCGCGGTGCTGCTCGCTACGCTGGTTTGCCACCCTTGCCTTCCCCGCCGCCTCGTCTTTTGCCTTTGCTCTTCTGGGTACCTGCGGCCTCCTTTGGATGATAGCGCTCTCGATGTCGCTCCTCTCGATGCGGTCTGATTGTCGCTCTCCTTTACTGTTAGCAAGATCTCACATACGACGTCGCGACTCAGTGTGCGTGGCGAGGGCCTCTTCAGTCTCAGCATTGGCGTCGTTGGCTTCCGTCGAGGCTTCGGCCCCACTCGCGTCATGGCCGTGCCCATAGTAGTATTCGTCACCCTCGTACCACGCGTAATGATGACAGAGAAGGATGTTCATGCAAGGCAGAAGGAATTTGCCAAGTTTGATTGCACGATAACACAGGCATTGGAGTTGGAGTTAGACGCGGATGATCTTCTCCAATATCGTTTTTTTCCTCGTCTACGAAATTACTTTCCTCGCCCGTGAACTATACTATCTCCCCATCCTGCGTCTCCTCTTTGTCCCAAGACTTCGTCCAAAGTGTATCTTCTCCCACGCTTGCACTGCTGAAACTCAAGTCAATGCCCCAAAGGTCTCTGGCATTTGCGTTCGAATCGGGTCCAAAGATCTCTCGCAGTGCATGCCTGATATTATCTTGCGTCAGGACACCCTTGCAATGTGTTTTGACATTTACGTACGTCTATTGAGGTATCCAAGATCTTGCCAATAGATGCCACCCAAGCAATTTACTGAGTAACTCTTTGTCCACTTCGCTCAACTGCTTGATTTCCAACTGATGTCTTGCAATCTGCTTGTGCATTGTCTCGCTCTTCTTGCGTCTAGATCTGTGAAAGAAGTTATTGTGTCTCTCTGTCTCGTGCATTTTCAACATTTTCTTGTCAAACTTGTAGTTGACGTCCAACAGCTCTCTTATGACGATCTACGTCCACCATCTCAGCCGGGTCCCACTCGGTATCCTGAAGACGAACAAACATAAGATACGCACCTCCCACTAACAAACTTTGCCACGTATTCGGCACTGACGTTCGAAAGCCTCGAGAAGCCTTTTGAAGTTCTTGGACATGAACCCTCGATGGTGGGCGCACTCTTCGATGCATCACTGGCAGGACCCCTCTCTCTCATCGGCGTGGGCGTCTCGACGTCCCACGATGTGTCCGGCCTTGGATCTAGAACGTCCAGGCCTCCTTCTGGGAAGGGTGCTCCTCGTGCAGCTCCACCTGTCGGTTCGGCTGGTGCTGCTGCTTCTGTCGGGCGGCCTGGCCCTTTGCCTTTTGCTCTGCCGCGGCCTCCCAAGACTTCCACGGCCTCTCGGCGGCCCCATCTTCAGATCACTTCCTGCAAGTCGTGTAGCCACGGCGGATCGGCAGGCTCCGCCACGAATATCAAGGATAAGATCTCGAAGACTTTGAAGTCCAGGCGGTCAAAGTCGTAAGACACAGTCAACATAGATCCTGATATGCCAATAATGAGGCACGAGCATCTGTTCCAACATGTGAGTAGAAGTTCGCCCCAAGCTGGTGCGGCTCAGGGCGCTCTGTGCGGAGCGTACATGGCAGCGGTGGCAGCGGTGAGCACAAACAAGTCTTAAGCACACACACACACACGCACACGCACTGCCTGCACAAATACCCTGCACAAGTTACTGAATGAGACTGCATGCCATGTCGGAGGGGGAGGGGAAGGAGGGAGGAGGCTGCGCGGTGGCCCGAGGGCGGCCTGCGGGTCCCGCGGTTGGCGGGGCCTCGGAGGGCGCCCACCTTGGCCATACGCCGATGGCCAGCGCCTCGTGGACGGCCTCTGGGTCACATCACCCCAGCGCCGTGCCGGGGGAGCAGGGGACGGGCCTCCTGGAGGGAGGGCGACCGCCACCTGCCAGGGCCCATCCCTCGCTTCTCGACGATACGGTGCTGGGCACGAGGGGGCCAGCAGCAGGGCACAAGACGGATTCCCCCCCCGGGGGCCCTCCCACCAGACCCGTACGACCTGCCGCAACAGGCGCTCAGGAGGCGGTGAGCGCGGGATCCGACCTGGGGGGGAGCTCCCGCACGGGTCTGCCGCGGCGGTTCTGCCTCACGCGAGAGCTGACGAGGAGAGAGAGACTGCCTGCTCTCCACCCACCCCCCAGCCTTGCCTCGACGCCTGGATGCTCTGGTGAGGACATGATGATGATGCTGATGATGATGCCGATGATGTTGATGATGCTGCTGATGATGAGGATGGTGATGATGGTTATGGTGGTGCTAATGATGATGGTGATGATGATGCTGATGGTGATGATGGTGATGATGCTTCTAATATAAGGATGCTGATGGTGCTGATGCTGATGATGCTGATGATGATGTTGATGATGATGATGATGCTGATGATGATAATGATGTGGGTAATGATGATGATCATGATGATGATCATGATGATGATGCTGATGGTGATGATGATGCTGATGCTGATGATATAACGATGATGGTGATGGTGATGCTGATGGTGGTGCTGCTGATGATGATGATGCTAATGATGATGGTGATGATGATTATGATGATGATGATGATGATGATGATGATGATGATGGGGGATCTGATGGTGCTGATTCTAATGCTGATGATGCTGCTGATGGTGATGATCATGATGATGTTGCTGATGGTGACGATGCTGATGCTGCTGATGCTGCTGATGATGATTATGGTGATGATGATGCTGACGGTGATGATGCTGATGAAGATGATGATGATGGTGCTGGTGATGATGATGACGATGATGATGCTGCTGCTGCTGATGATGATGATGATGACGGTGTTGATGATGCCAATGCTGACGATGATGATGACCACGATGATGATGATGATGCTGATGATGATGATGATGCTGATGATGATGATGATGATGATGATGATGATGATGATGGTGATGATGATGCTGCTGCTGATGATGATTATGATGATGTTCATGTTATGCTGACGAAGAAGAAGACTATCCACCGTACTTGTCAAGACGAATCAGCATACTAATACGAGTAATAACGATACCCAGGATATTTATGTAATAGTAGTAATCATACTAAGGTGGATACGAATGATAATGATACACATGATAATTGGGATGCAGGTAAGATAACAGTAGTCGTATCAACACTGATAACACATATAATTCGTAATTCTAAGAGTAGCAATAACGAACATCCTACTAAGAAGAAGAGGAGGAGGGGGAGGAGGAGAAGGAGGAGGAGGAGGAACAGCACGGCGTGGACAAGCTATCGAAAGCCCGCGCAGATTTCTGGGGCCAGCGCCGGACCCCCCGCTTGGCGCGTGGAGCGCGCCACGGGCTGCGCCTGGGGCGACGCCAGGGGGGTCCAGCGCAGAGCCGAGGATCCGCGCGGACTTCCGAAGGTGCACGCTCATGCTGATTGCGAAGGCCTTACGGCCTGTGCCGCCGACCCCGGAGGCCACGAAGATGGAAACCCTGGGGGGGGTGGAGGAGGAGGAGGAGGTGGAGAGGGAGGAAGGGTGGAGGAGGCAGTCGAGGGAGCAGGCGGGGGAGAATGATGAGGAGGAGGACTTCCGAAAGTGCGCGCTCATGCTGATTCCGGCGCCTCCCGGCCCAGGAGCGGGCCGCGGTGCCGTCCGGGCCCCGCGCCCCCCTGGGCCACCTCCTCGCAGCCCGGCGCGCCGGGGAGGAGCGCCAGCCTGTGGACGAGGCACTCCGAGCCCCGACGCCTGCCTCCTCCTCTCCTCCCTCCTCCTCCTCCTCCTCCTCCTCCTCCTCCTCTCCTCCTCCTCCTCCTCCTCCTCCTCCTCCTCCTCCCCCGTAGGGCTCGGTGGACCCGGGTGCCGCAGGCTCTCCCAGGCAGGGCAATGGGCAGCGAGGTGCGCCGGGGGTGTAGCTTCAAGTCGGGCCTGTCCCTCTACAGGAGGAGTGCGCAAGAATAGTCACACAAATGGTCTGGGGACGATTTGTTGTGTAAGCATTTTTTTTGACTAGTTGGGGGTACTTGTTGGGTCATGTTTAATCCTTCGCCCAAAATCCGCCCGTAGGGGTACACGCTCGACCTAAATGTAGCTGCTCCGATCCTCGCCCCCGCAGCAGATGCAGTCTTTCGGCCACGCGCAGAGGGGGGCTAGGGGGAGGGGGGAAGGCTTCTTAGAAGCACCCCCGCTTCTCAGAAGGCGCTGCGCTTCTCTGCTGACGTGAGGCCAGGGCCTGCTGAGAAGCAGGGCGCTCCTGAGGAGCCTCTCCACCTCCCCCTGCCCCCCTCTGCGCGCCGCCAGGCCTCGACGAACAACAGCACACACTGTGTTTTTTTCCCACTGTGCTTTTTTTGGTGTTTTTTTGCCACTGCGTGTGTGTTTTTTCCCACTGCTTTTTTTTTGTTGTTTGTTTTTGTCCCCCCTGCCCCCCTCTGCGCGCCGCCAGGTCTCGACGCCTGGCCCGTAGGGCGCCTGCCCCCGACGCGGCCGAGGGCCGCCGGGTGGGCTCTTCAAGCCGGGGCCACGGGCCGCTGCCCCCCGAGCGGTGGCTCCGGCCTTCCCCGTCTGGAGGGCCCGTCAACGGCACCGTAACGGGTACGGTAGGTTTGCGTCGTGTCGACCAGCGGCGACCCCAGCGCGGGCGTTCAAGGTTGAACGCCGCCGGCGACCCAGAATCGATCGATGTTGAACGATCGGACGTTGCGGCAGCGGCCGATCGTTCAAGGTTGAACGATCCCTGCGGTGTCAAAAACCAACGCTGGGGTCGGCACGACACGAACCTGCCGTACTTACTAACGGGTACTTTGAATTTTTGCTGAGAGTTGCCATTTTAGGGCCTTTTTCTTGCATTGCAGCTTTGCCCACATCGGGAAGGGTTGGGTTCGCTGGGTCACTGGCCAAAGTACCCGTTAGTGGAGTCCTCGTTTGAGGGGCGTTGAGCTCTCTTCGAATCTGAAGGTGCCCACTGGTCGTCGAAAGTATGTCTTTCTGGAGTCCCAGATTCCAATCTGCTTTCAACGCCTTCCTGCTCCAGTGATCGATTGTCTGCACCTTTTCCGTCCTCTTTCGGGGGCGGGCGGACACCCAATCTATTTTCAACGCCTTCCTACTTCATTTTTCTGCTACTTCTTCCGACCGATGGGTCGGGCACTGGCCTGGTGTGTGGCAGGAGGAGGTCCCTGCGCGCCTCCAGGCTTGTCCTCTTCGTGTATGTCTGCCGCTGTGCCCCCCCGTGCTCGTCGAGTAAGTCTGGCCAGGCCGGAATGCCCGACAGTGCCGTTTTTAATACATGCTCCGCGTGCGGATCATGTATTACATTTCAGGGTTTTAGTGCTAAAGGCAACGATGAGTTCATGCATAAGTTTATTAACGCATCAGTCATGTATCAAACATCCTACGTTTTTCAACATCCAATGTGCTAAAAACTGCCCTGTACTCTGGGAGAAGCCCGAGGGACTGAGGGGCCCATGTCGAGGTGTCTGCTGGGCAGGCCTCCGGACATGCTCTGCGACAGAGCTCCTGCTCGGGGAGGGTCCACAGCCGGGCGCTCTCCGCGCGGCCACCTGGATGACCGCGGGGCCGTGGCCCGGGGCACGCCACCCCAGCTCGGCCGCGGCCACGCCTGCGTTTCGCCAGGCGTCGGCTTCGAGGAGTTGTCGGGGGTGGACAGAACCCCCAACAGTGACACGTCGATTAGTGCATTGTCCGTTTTCGGTTCTCGAGAGGGCGCCGCGGCCGTTATTTTCCAGGCTTGCGCCCGCCAGGTTTGGGCCTCAGGTCGTTTTCACCAAACCACGTTTTACTAAAGGGAGGCCTGTCCATCCCCGAGAATGCAAGGGCCCACGAGTCATGGGCTCGGTTCAGGAGCTGGTCTGCTCCTGGACATACTCCCAGGAGCCACCGGCCAAACCTCAGCCCTCCTTCCACGACTGACTCGAGAATTCCCATTGCCGCCCCCAACGGTAGAGTGCCTCGGGCGACTTGACCTGCCAGACTGGCTACTTTTGCACTGGCTGCCCCAAGGCGCTAAGAGAGCAAGGCGAGATCGCTGCGCCACGGCAGCCCTGGCCACCGATGCTGCGTGACTCTTCCCACGTCTTCTCGACTTTGCTCCACGAGGCCAAAGTGCAGGGCCTGCCACTGCGGTGGTTGCACGTGGTGCTCGCCGCCTCCAGCAACCATTGCCGCGTGCTTTGTCGTTTTGTGCGTTGCCTTGTACTTCTGGGCCCAGGCCGCCATCTTCGCGAATGCCGCCTGGGGGGGTGGGGCAGGAGGAGGGGGACGAGAAGGAGGAGGAGGAGGAGGAGGAGGAGGAGGAGGAGGAGGAGGAGGGCGAGGAGGAGGAGGAGCAGGAGCAGGAGCAGGAGGAGGAGGAGAAGGAGGAGGAGGAGGAGGAGGAGGAGGAGCAGGAGGAGGAGGAGGAGGAGGAGGAGGAGGAGGAGGAGGAGGAGCAGGAACAGAAGCAGGAACGCGAGGCGGCGGAGGAGGAGCAGGAGCAGGAAGGCTCACGGGCCCGGCGGCGTACCGGGTCTGGCTGACTCTTGCCACTTACCCAGGGGTAACGGAAGCTACAGACTACTGGGTTCGGGGGCGGGCGAGAGACCCGCGCCGCCGCCGGCGGAGAAGGAGGAGGAGGAGGACGAGGAGGAAGAAGAGCAGGAAGAGATGAGCGAGAAAAAGTGGGGCAGGTGATGGAGGAAGAGGGAAAGGGTAATTATGTTCGGAGGTTGATAGACCTCCTACCCTGACGCGTCGATTGGTGAATTGGCCGTTTTCGGTTCGCGAGAGGGCGTCGCGGCCGTCATTTTTGCGGGTCCAGGTCCGTCGGTTTCGGTCTTGTGCCACTTTCGCTAGAGGGTGTTTTTTTTTTTTTTTTCAAATGGAGGTTTGTGCACCGCCGATATGTGAAGCGAGAGGGAGGGCGGCGGAGGACGAACATGAAGAGGACACTAGTAAACTCAATATGCATCGACGACTCTGCAACACACCCCCGTCCAATGTGCCCTCCCCATACGTCCCTACAGCATGGCTTCCTAATTGCAGGAAGGCTTTTTCTGATATACACTCATGGACCTGCCATTCAGGCGATAGCTTCGTTTTGAATTTCGGCAAAAAAGGACTTGCATTCTTCGAGTGTGTGCTACGGAATGAGCCACTAGTATGATCGTAGTGTTCAGCCAAGTGTCTAGCGATTTGAGGATCGTTCTTACTTGTTCAATTCTTGCACGCGATTTCACTTGAGGCCTTTAGCGCCCAGGAAGTCTCACACGAGAGCCGTATTTGGTGAAGAAGTTGGCATCCGTACTTACAGTTGTATCATAGATCAACAAATCTCTGGCAACCGATCAAATTTGAAAAGTATACGTGTTTCATCGGCGCAGCTTTTGCATCTGCTCAAGTGTCTGGGCGCTAGCTCCATATTCGTTCAAGCGATACACCACTATGGAGAAAACAGCTAACCATCCCAGCTGCAAGCTTTCAAGACGAATGTACGCGGCGTTAGGGCGAGCACCCCATTGGCTAAAGGGGCAGCTATTCATTGAGGAAAACGCGACAAACATTTGAGACTATTGCGAGCGGCGCGAAGGCGAGAGCGTGAGTTTGAAGAGACTCGCCTCCTATCCTCGAAATGCTAGACGCTTCGCGTATCCCCACCAGTTCGTTTATGTCCCGACTTCCTAGCGCCTTCGACGTACCTGCATCTTTGCACGCTGGCAGTTCCACTCAGTTTCAGTTTCTCCTGCCACCCGCCCGCCGCTGGGCCGCTGCGTGAGTCCTCGGCTTGCCGCGTTAGTTGTCGCCTTGCGCGCCGCCTCTGCCTAAGTAGTCTCTGCATAACCCGCTTGGACCTGACGCGCCGCTGGCGCGCTCGCCCGCGGCCGCTGACTAAAAAAATATCACCGCCAGTACGCCCTCAGCGGTCACTTGTCAGCTTCGCCGTCTGTGACCTTGCCGCGCCATTTTGGCTGCGTATAGCTCCTTGGTTCAATTTGTGCATCGGCACTGCCCCCGGATCCGGGTCCTGGTTGCAGTTTGCATCGCCCGTCGGCAAGGTTTCGGGCCCTGCCCCGCTTCCTGGCACCATCTCGCGCAGCCCGGCAGCTTAGGCAGCTTAGGCAGCTTAGGTTCGGCCGTCGGTCCCCGTGCGCTCGGCAATTAGTTTCGCGCGTTGCCCGCCCGACCTCTGACGCTGCTGGCGCGCTCGCTTGCGGCCGCGACGAAAAACTACCCCCGCCAGCCCGCCCAGAAACGATGTCCAGGCGAGTTGATATGATCATGGAAATGCGGCAGCAAAGAGGGGGGCGGCCGAACCGTGCAAAGGAGTGAGGAGGAGAAGGAAAAGGTGGATGGATGGACGGATGAGGGAGTGAGAAGAATGAGCAGGATGATGGGGAGGTGGCGGGGGAGGAGGAGGCGGAGGAGGAGGGGGAAGAAACGGAGCAGGAGGAGGAAGGAGGAACAGGAGGAGGAGGAGGAGGAGGAGGAGGGCAAGCACAAGGGCCAGAGGTCTCTTGGATGCCTCTCCGTTTCTTGGTGGCCTCTTGGGACGTCTTGGGGGTCTCTTCGCGATCCTGGGGGACTCGTCGGGGTCTCGGGTGCCTCGTGGGGGCCTATTGGGGCCGCTTGGGGTCTTCTGGGGGGGGGCCTCCTGGGGGCCTCTTGGGGCCATCTCGGGGCCATCTTGCGACCTCTTGGGGCCTCCTGGGCGGGCTCTTCGGGGTCTTGGGTGCCTCGGGGGGGGGGGGCCTCTTGGGGTCCTTTTGGGGCCCCCAGGGGGCCTCTTGGGGCCATCCCAGGGCCATTTAGGGACCTCTTGTGGCTTCCTGGGCGGGCTCTTCGGGGTCTTGTGTGCCTCGGGGGGGGGGGGCTCTTGGGGCCGCTTGGGATCCTTTTGGGGGCCTCCTGGGGGCCTCTTGGGGGCCTCTTGGGGCCATCCCGGGGCCATCTTGGGACCTTTTGTGGCCTTCTGGGCGCTTCTTGGGGCCATCTTGGGTGAGATCGATCAAACAAGAGGGGGGCTTTCATTAGGGCCCCCCCACCCTCAGGAGGCCAAACAAAATGGGCGAACACCCTAGTACAACCAGTGATTTTGGCTTCCGTGCCGAGGCCGTTTTGGACGCCCTGACACCTCCTGAAGCCCCCTGTCCAGGTCCAGGGGAGGGGGTCGGGGGAGGGGGAGGGGTAAACCCTTCCCCGAATGGGAAGGAGGAGGGGTGGAAGAGGAACCCCCCTAAACCACCGACGCCCGAAGGGCTGGTGGGATTACCGTCCCCCCCCTTCAAAACGCCAAAATGGGGCCAAAACCGTAGTAACACCAATGAGTTTGGCTTCCTCGCCGAGGCCGTTTTGGACGCCCCGACACCTCGCGAAACTCCCTGTCCAAGTCCAGGGGAGGGGGTCGGGGGAGGAGTCAAGACCCCCCACCGCCCGCAGGCCGTCTCGCTCACTCCCACCCGCCCTCCCAACACATACGTCGCACCCGAGTCTGGCCCGAGCCTCAGCATATTCAGCAGTCGTCTTTGGATGGGTAGCTACTGGGGGCCAATCCGCCGCCACCACCGCCACCGCCGCCTCCGCCGCCGCCGCCGCTGTCGCCGCCGCTGCCGCCGCCGCAGCCGCTGCCGCTACCGCCACCGCCGCCGCCGCCACCGCCGCCACCGCCGCCGCGGCCGCCGCCGCCGCTGCCGCCGCAGCCGCCGCAGCCGTCGCCGCCGCCCCCGCCGCCGCCGCAGTCGCCGCCGCAGCCGCCGCCGCCTCCGCCAAGTGTACTCGGTATTGTTTTTTTGGCAGGGATGATGGGGGGGGAGCGCAGCGGGTTGACTGCGCATGTTCTGAATTTGGAGGCAGAGTGTGTGTTTGTATTGTTTTCTACAAACGATTGTGTGTGGGGGGTCGTCATGGTCCCTGGTTGGCCCCCAGTCGCCTGGGGGAGGGGGTGTGTATCAATAGGGAACAGTGATAAACCCTTCCCCGGATGGGAAGCAGGATGGGTGGAAGCGGAAACTCCTTAAACCACCGACGCCCAGAGGGCTGGTGGGGGTCTCTTGGAAGCCTCTTGGGGGCATCCTGAGGGCCTCTTGGGGCTTCCTGGCCACCTCTTGGGGCCATCTTGGGGCACTCTTGGGGCCTCCTGGGCGCTTCTTGGGGCCATCTTGGGTGCGATCGATAACAGGAAGGGGGGTACGAATTAGCGTCCCCCCCCCCCTCAGGAGGCCAACATGGGGCCCACCCCCCCGCAACACCAATGATTTTGGCTTCCTCGCCGAGGCCGTGTTGGACGTTCCGACACCTCGCGAAACCTCCTGTCCAGGTCCAGGGGGGGGTAGGGGGAGGAGTAAACCCCTCCCCGAATGGGAAGAAGGAGGGGTGGAAGGGGACACTCCCTAAACCACCGACGCCCAGAGGGCTGGTGGGTTTGGATCAGGCGTTCAAGACGAATGCGCGCGGCGCTAAGACGAGAGCCCGAGTTTGGCAAGGAACGCATCCATCCTTGAGGAGCTGTTGCGAACGTCCAAGACGAATGCACGCGGCGCTAAGGCGAGAACTTCATTTTGAACATAACGGCCCTCCCATCCCAGCAGCTGCTGCATACTTCCATCATCCGGATCACACGCAGTGAGGACGTCGCAGGCGAAGTGCCCGGCCCACCTTCTGGGGGTGCGACAGGAAATAATGTTCTCAAAGGGGGAGGATGAGGAGGATAATGGTGATGATGATGAGGAGGAGGAGGAGAAGGGGACGAAGGAACGCATGTGGGAAGAGAGGAATGAGGAGGATCGACACGTGACTCAAACAAAGCACCCCTATGGGTCTCGACTGTTACGCGGCCACTGGTGAGTCCTTGTGAATCCGCGAGAAAGCGGGGGGAGGGAGGGAGGGAGGCAGGGAGAGGGGGGACACGGATGAGAAATGGGAGGAGGCGGGGAGGAGGAATGTGAGGAATGAGGGAGGGGCAGAGGGAGTGGGGATGGGGGTGTCCTTCTCAAGCAGAGCACCGCGCTCTTAGGCTGCCGTCCCCGGGCTTCACGGAGGAGCAGAGAAGAGAGTCCATCGTCAAGCGGCTGCACATATTGGGGAGCGTGGTCGGCGTCATCTGCGGGTGCTCGCTAGGCTGGCGCTGCCCCAGGGAGAGCAGAGCAAAAGGGGGAGGACGCAGGAGAGGATGAGGGGGAGAACAGAGGTGAGGGGGTCGAGGGGTCGGGCGAGAGAAGGTGAGGGGGGTATTGGGGTGTGGAGGAGGCGGAGGAGGAGGATGAGAAGGAGCAGGAGGAGCAGCAGGATGATGATGATGATGATGATGCTGATGATGATGATGATGATGCTGATGATGATGGTAGTGGTGGTGATGATGATGATGATGATGATGCTGATGCTGATGCTGATGCTGATGATGATGATGATGATGATGATGATGATGCTGCTGCTGATGATGATGATGATGATGATGATGATGATGATGATGATGATGATGAGGATGATGATGAGGATGAGGATGATGATGATGATGATGATGATGATGATGATGATGATGATGATGGTGGTGGTGGTGGTGGTGGTGGTGGTGGTGGTGGTGGTGGTGATGATGATGATGGTGATGATGATGATGGTGATGATGATGATGGTGATGATGCTTATCCTGATCATGATGATGATAATGATGATTCTGATGATGTTGATGATGGTGGTGGTGATCATGATGATGAGGATGAGGATGAGGATGAGGATTGGGATGAGGATGTTTATGCTGATGCTGTGGATGATGTTGATACTTATGAATATGATGATGAGGAGGATGAGGAGGGACTTGAGTTGATATGGTTTTGGGCGCCTTAACCCCGTTGGTGGGTCCAGCTACATGGTGCCACCACCCTGTAGGGCATGGTGATCCGTGTTGCCGCGCCTGGAGCGGTTGTGGCCGACGTTCACCCGTCTTGGGCCACTTAATTCGGCCATATGGGGTGCCGCGCCTGCAGCGGCTGCGTGACCGACTCGGGGCCACCTGAGCACACCAGAGGTGGGGAAGGCGTATTTTGTGCCTGGGGGGGGGGGGCAGGATTAGTCCGCCCAGGCGGCCCGTGGGGCTTAAGCCCCAATCTCCGAGTCGCGGAATCGGTGCTCCAGTGGGGGGCTGGTGAATTCTATTGAGTCGCTTCGCTCATTCCGCCGGCCCGAGGGGGCCTCTTGGGGGCCTCCAAGAGGCCTCTAAGAGGCCTCTTGGTGGCCTCTTAGAGCTTCTTGGGGGCCTCTTGGGGGCGTCTTGGGGGCCTCCTGAGGGCTCTTAGGGGCCTCTTGGGGCCTCTTAGGGGCCTCTTGGGGCTTCCTGGAGGCCTCTCAGGACCGAGGGCTCGAAATGTTGTTTCGTGCTCCCCCTCTGGGGCCGCTCTTGGGGCGCTCTAGGGGCCCTCTTGGGCCGTCTTGGAGGCCTCTTGGGCCGTCTTGGGTCCCACTTGGGGGCTCTTGGGCCCTCTTGGGGCGATCTTGGGGGCCTCTTGGGCCGTCTTGGGGCGTCGGGAAGCTGAAAAGGTGGAAACACCAAAATCTGTCCAAAACCTAAGGAAAAGCAATGATTGATCTTGGGGCCCTCTTGAGAGTGCTCTTGGAGGCTTCTTGGGGCGTCTGGGGGCCATCGTGGGCGTCTTGGAGCGATCTTGTGGCATCTTCGAGCCCTCTTGTATCATCTTGGGGGCCTCTGAGAGGCCTCTTGACCCTTCTTGGGGCTCTCTGGAGGGTCTCGAGAGTGGCGCCCAGACGGAAACCATCTCTGACCCGACCCTGCCGAGAATTTTTCCTCCGGGGACCCCCAGGGGCCGCCCCCCGCGCGCGAAGTAGAAATACTGTAAAGCAGTTGCGGGAGATCTTAGCACGCCTCTGGCCCGTTGGGCCGGTGAACTATTCACACCCGTTCGCCTCATTGCATCGTCCAGTGTATGGCAGCGACCAATTAGCAAGGGAATTAGCAAGGGGGTCGCCCGTGACATTTCTTGTCAGGGAGTCTTGGCCCCAGGGGGAGCGCGCCGTGCCAAATGCGTGCGGCGTGAATCTCCCTGGCGGGGCGTGGCGACGTCAAGCGGTGGATATGTCAAACAGATCCAGACAAGTGAGGGAGAGAAACGCGACTGCCTTCGTTCCGCGCCCAGCGTGACGGACAGCCCCATGCAGCTTTTGGCGAAGGACATCTGGCGAGCGCACTGTTGCCTCACCCTTGCGCCATCTTCTCGCCGCCGCCGGGGTTCGTCTACCGTTCGTGCGGGCATGCCTTTCGCACCCAGCGCTCACACGGGAGGTCTCAACTTGTGGCCGTCAGTGTCGAGGCCTGCTTCGCCTGCAACAGCGAATGACCCTCACATGGCTTTTGGAAACGGGTCAAAGTTCTCGTGTGCCAAGCAAAACCCTCATTACGAGGGCGCGGTGCTCATGCCTATCCTTCGACAGGGATGGATATCCTAGTTTTAGACACGAGGGGCGGATGCCAACTTTTCCAAGCCACCAAGACATGGAAAACGGATGCCAACTCCTGTCCATCGACAGGGGTGGGCATCCGACCTGAGACCGACGCTGTCAAGGGCTGCCGTGCTCGCAAACGCAATGGGGCCATCGAGCGGCCACCGAACCGGGCCTCGTAATACGACCGACCTCCTTGGGGGGGGGCTGTGCTTGGCTGGAATGTGAGGCCATTTAGTCCTACGCCGCTGTCGCCTGGAGGAGGAGGAGGAGGAGCAGAGGAGGAGGAGGAGGCAGAGGCGGAGGAGGAGCAGGAGGAGGAGGCGGCGGCGGAAGGTGAGGAGCAGGGGAGGAATGACAGGGTTTGGTGAGGGGAGGGAGCGGAAGGGGCATGGATGACGAAGAGGAGGACGAGGACGAACAGGAGGAGGAGGATCAGGAGGAGGATGAGGATGAGGAGGAGGAAGATGAGGAGAAGGAGAAAGAGGAGGAGGAGGAGGAGGAGGAAGAGGAGGAGGGGGGGAGGAACTATGAGGAGGGGGGGCGAGGAGACGGGGGGGAGGGGGGGGGGGGAGGGCGGGAGGGCGAGGGGTGTGGGGGAGAGGGGGCAGCTGGGGAGGAGAGGGAAGGGGGGGGGGAGAAGATCAGATCCATGCCCGAATGCACAAGTTATGCGGCAGTGCCTTCCCGTTCCAATTGCCCTCTTTAGAAGTCTCTGCACGCAATCCTCTTCAGTACTGGAGGCGGAAGACGAAAGCAACACGGGCACGCCCGTTTAGAGAAGGAACCGCCTTCCCTTATCTGAAGGCTGTCGCCTCTGCCGCCGACCCCTATCGAGTGACCGGTAGGAATCGTGGGGGGTGGGAGTGACTCAGGTCAGCGGTTGGTAGATTGGGCGTGGTGGTAACTATAGTCCAGAAGCAGATAGACCATTGGCGTCGGAGCCCTCCTTGTTATTTTGGGTCTTGAGGCGCCGCCTGTGAGGCGGGGTGGTTGGTCTCGCCTGAGACGTTCCTGCGATTGTGGGCTTGGAGATGCCGCGCGAGAGATAGTTCATCCTATTACGCTTCGACATTCTCGCCGTGGTTCTGAGGTGGTCCCGCCCTGTTGGCTTGAGTCATTCTTGCAGTTGTGGGTTTCGAGGGACGCGAGAGGTCTACTTAGCTTCTCCTCCCACAGTCTCGCAACTCAGGGCCCATGGATGGTCTCACCTGAGCTGGTCCAGTTAGGTTCGCTTCACACATCGTCACAACTCTGGGCTCGGATTTGACCTGGTCGGTGTCGTCCAGCCATCTTCGCCCGATGCATTCTCGTTATCCTGGGGTCGTCGATGCTCTTGCCTCACTGCATCCCATCTCGTTCCTCGCTGTTGTGGGTATGCAGCTGCCGTGCTCTGTTCGTTCCGCTTGATCCTCTTTGCAACTTTGGGATCATGTACTGAGGTCCTCACCTCACGTGGTGAGTGAGTGCAGTCCTCCTCGTTGCCAGTGGCAGATATGTCAATCGGGGCCACCTGTCCAACGGGCGAGGGTAGCTGGGAATTACATGAGGCGAGTGACCCGCCTTTGCCGAGGAGATTTCGGGGTGAATTTGTTGCTTACGCTAGTCACCCAGAGGGGTGGGCGGATTGTCCTTACTTTCGATGCCGTGTGGGGCATCGTCGCAGGGGAGGCCCGACGTTGCCCCATCAGCCAGACTACTGCTGCTGCACCTCGCCTTGCTTTGCGCCCAAAACATAAGATCACATCGCCTTCCAGGCCGGAGGGTTCGGAAGTCATGGAGCGTTGCGTCAAATTCGCGGGAGGGGTCAGTGATGTGTCATCTCCAAGCTTGGCCAAACAAAGACGAAAACCACATGGACACGCCCATTTGGAGAAGGAGTCGCCTTCTCTTATATACAACATGCATGTTAGAAATTCTAGACGCTTCGCGTACATCCAGAAACGATGCCCGGAGGAAGTGCCTCGATCAGGGAAGTGGGCAGCACACAGAGGAAGGGTCCCCTAGAGGAGGCCTCTTGAAGCGTCTTGGGGGCCTCTGGGCGGGCGGTCCCGGACGCCTCTTAGAGCGGCTTGGGTGCTTCGGAGAGCTTCTTGGGGCCTCTTGGGGGTCTCTTGGGGGCCTCTTGGAGGCCTCTGGGGCGCCTGTTAGGGCATCTGGGGCCTCCTGGGCGCCTCTTGGGGCCCTCTTGAAGCGCTCTTGGGAGCCTTGGGAGCGCTCTTGGAGCCCTCTCGGGTCATCTTGGAGTCATCGTGAAGCCTCGGATGGCCATCGGAAGCGAAAAGGCGAGAAAACCCAAAACATTGATTTTACTAGGGTTTTGAATGATTTTGGCCTCTTCGGGGCCTCCTGGGGGAGCTCTTTGGCCACTTGGAGCCGTCTTGAAGCGGTCTTGGGGCCTCTTGGAGTATCGTGGGAGCCATCTTGAGGCATCTTGGGATATCTTGTGCCATCTTGGAGGTCATTTTGGGCTCTCCCAGGCGCTCTTGGAGTCATCTGAAGCAGTGCCCCCCCCAGGAGGCTCGAATGTGGCCAAAACCTTTGGAAAGTCAGTGATTTTGGCAGTCTCGCTGAGGCCTCTTGGAGCGTATTGGGTGCCTCTTGGGGCCTCTTGGGGCCTCTTGGGGGTCTCTTGGGAGCCTCTTGGGGGCATCCTGGGGGCCTCTTGGTGGCTTCTTGGGGCCACATGGGGCCATCTTGGGGCTCTCGGGGCCCCTCGGGGCCTCCTGGGCGCCTTTTGTGGCCATCTTGGAGGAGATCGATCACAGGAGGGGGGGGGGACTCAGTTAGCCCCCCCTCAGGAGGCCCCTAGTAAAACCAATGATTTTGGCTCCAACGCGTCAGGGAACCCCCCGTCGAGGTCCAGGAGAGGTAGGGGGAGGGGTCAAGGTACCCCTCCCCGCCCGCAAGCCGTCTCGCTTACTCCCACCCGCCCTCCCAACACATACGTAGCACCCGAGCCTGGCCCGAGCCGCAGCATATGCAGCAGTCGTCTTTGGATGGCCAGCTACTGGGGACCAATCTGCCGCCGCCGCCGCCGCCTCCGCCGCCGCCGCCGCCGCCCGCTGCCGCCGCCGCCGCGCCGCCGCCGCCGCCGCCGCCGCTGTCCGCCGCTGCCGCCGCCACCGCGCTGCCCGCCGCCGCCGCCGCCGCCGCCGCCCCCGCTGCCCCCGCTGCCAAATCGCCGCCGCCTCAGTCGTTGCCGCCGCCGCCGCCGCCGCCGCAGCCGCCACAGCCGCTGCCCCTGCCGCAGCCGCCGCAGCCGCCGCCGCCGCCAAGTGTACTCTCGATGGTTTTTTGACAGGGATGGTGGGGGGAGGCCGCATCGGGTTCGCTGCGCATGCTCCGAATTTGGAGACAGAGTGTGTTTTGTATTGTTTTTCTTTTACGAGGGATGGTGGGGGCAGAGTGCGTTTTGTACGGTGTTTTTTGCAAGGGATGGTGGGGGGGGGGCCCGTATTGACCTGGGTTGGCTCCCGGTCGCCTGGGGGAGGGGGTGTATTTTTATAGGGAACAGTGATCAACCTTCCCCCAAAGGGGAAGACGGTGGGGTAACAGAGGAAGCATTCTAGACCACCTGCGCCCAATGGGCTGGTGGGACGAAGGAACGTTTCCAGCAACATCACCGTTTTGAGTTGGTTTTCGTTCGATGCATTTACAGATAGCGGGCGCCCTCATGTTCGTCGTGTCGGGTTTTCCGCTTTGGAAGTTCATTTGGTTGCAATGTCTACATGTGCGCCATCAGGCCTTCGGCGAAGACGCTCTTGTGGCTACGTTTCGGCAGTAGCCGTTGTGCAAATTTAACTTCCTGGAGGCCAGACCTGCAGCAGCCTCGGGCCAGAGCACCACGATGAAGAGGATCCCCCCCTCTTCACCCGTGCAACCTGCTGCACCGCGGGCGCCCCCGCCTCTCGGACGCCCCGAGCCCGCCTGCAGAGGCCTCGTCAACCTGCTGCTCATCGACGCCAGCGAGGCCAAGGATCGGCGGCCGGCCCCGCCCAGGGGGGGGAAGCGAGAAGGGGCGGGCCTTTCTCAGATGACTCGAGCATCCTCTCGCCTTCCGAGAAGCTCTCTAAGCCCGCCCCGAAGACGAGGCAAACTTCTCGGAAGGCCGGAGGGCTTCTGAGCCGGCCCGCCGCCTCCTGAGAAGGCCTCTTCCCCAGATATCCGAGGCCGTGATTATTCCAACACGGGGTCCCTGGGAGTGTCGACCCATTCCCAGGGGCCGGTGTTTTTCCTCCTGAGCTGTTTTTTGGACGGTCCTGGGGCCCGGCGAGCGCCCCTCGAGGTCGAATATCATGCGGAAAACCTCTGCCCCGTTTTTGTTTCAATACGTTGGATCGCGGGGTCCTTCTCATCTCCTCCTCCTCCTCCTTCTTATCCTTCTCCTCCTCCTCCTCCTCCTCCTCCTCTTCCTCCTCCTCCTCCTCCTCCTCCTCATCTCCTCCTCCTCCTCCTTCTTATCCTTCTCCTCCCGGGCGCGCCGCCGACAGGAGTTCAAGCTCTCCGCCGCCGGCTCCGACGGCAGCGATCCACGCGGGGCTGCCCGCCACGGCCCGGCAGTCTCCCCAGAGGGCGCGGCGCGGAATTCGGGGCGGGGGGAGTGGGGCAGGGGGCGGAGGAGCAAGAAGTCAGGATGCACGCCTGTCGTTGAAAGTAGATCTGTTGTGGACAGCCAGATCCCAATCTGCTTCAAGCGCCTGCCCACTTCAAGATGCGAAGGGTTTTTTTGTCGGCTCTTCGGGCGGCCCCGACCCCAATCTGCTCAATTCGCCGTGCTGCTTCATGTTTCCAGGTACTTTTTCCGACTGGCCGGCAATGGTGCGGCCCAGGACGTCCATGGCTGCGTCGAAGAAGAAAACAACGGCAGAAACGTACACGTTCCGAGCTCCGCGCGGGCTTCTCGTAGCGGTGCTGCCCCCCTCTTGCGCGCGGAGCGCGCCAGGGACTGCGCCACAGGCGCCGCCACAGGGAGGCCCAGCCCCGACCCAAGACATCCACTCGGAGCTCCGGAAGTCAGAGCGTGAATTACCTCCCCCGCTTTCGCTTCCAGGCAAAACCAAGCCATACCACGCGCCTCCTCGTCAAGCGGCCTGACCAGTACAGGCCGCAATTTGGCATCGTTTGGTATCTCTTGGAAGCGAGGGTGGTCAAAAGCGAGGTAGGTTTGTTTTCCCCCGAGGAAGTGTGTGTTTGTGCAGTTCTGGTGCCTGCACTCTTGGGGGTCCTTCCTCTGTCCTCTGAGGAGCTGGGCCCGCGCGGCGGTCTGGCGGCTCCACGGTCGCCGTCGCCGCCCCGTCGCCGCCTCGTCGCCGCCCGTCGTCCGGGCCTGCGGGGCGGTCTGGCGGCTCTGCGGTCGCCGTCGCCGCCCTGTCGCCGCCTCGTCGCCGCCCGTCGTCTGGGCCTGCGGGGCGGTCTGGCGGGGCTCGGTGGCGGGTGCGCTGCCCGCGGCCCAGACCTCGGGAAGGTCGCGCGGCGCAGCTAGAGTTGCGCGCCCTCGGGAAGGGGGGGGGGAAGGAAGGACGAGGGGCAGAGGCTCTCTGATGGGCCGATCTTCCACCGCCACCACCACCACCACAAGCAGGACGGGGGGAAGAGGAGGATGGGGAGATTCTCCTACTCTTCTTCTTCCTCCTCCCCCTCCTCCGCCTCCTCCTCCTCCCCCTCCTCCTCCTCCTCCTCCTCCTTCTTCTCCTCCTCCTCCTCCTCTTTTTTTTCCTCCTCCTCCTCCTCCCTCCCCCTTCTCCCTCTCCTACCCATGGTAGTGGTGGTGGAAAACAGGCCCATCACTTTCGGTAGCAAACCACGACCCCGACACTTTTTCCACTCGACGCACTTGCGCGTCGTTGTCGTTCTGTCCAGGCCTCCAGGCTGGGGTCTGAGTGGATGGGGTCGTGGTATCGCGCCGCATCGCTGATGCTTCGGCGATGCGTCCCGTTGTGGGGCCCGATTTTCTCCGCGCCGACGTCTCCGATCCATCGCCGACGTCGCCAATGTATCACCGATGCATCGGCGATGCGGCGCGATCGTCGCCGATGTATCACCGATGCATCGGCGATGCGGCGCGATCCTCCGATCCCATCTGTCCGGACCCCATTCGAGAGGCCTCTCAAAGCATGCCTCAGGTTGTAAGCAGGTCATCGGATGGAAAACTCTGACTCACCAAGGTGAAGCGCAAAGTTACCCATCGGTCGTTGAAAGTAGGTATTTTTGGTTTCCCATATTCCAATCCTTTCTGAGCGCCTTCCTACTTCAATGATCGAGTGACTTCACCTTTTCCGTCCTCCTTAGGAGGCGGACGGACCCCAATCTTTTTTCACCGCCTTCCTACTTCGTGCTCCTTCCGACCGATGGGTAGACTCTCAAATCCACCCTCCTCGTTTCCCTGCGCGTGCGTGCGTGCGCCCTGCAGCAGGTCTGCCGCCACTTTTGGGGGGGTCGGAGGGGGGGCGCTTGAGACCCGCCCGCCCGCGCCCTCTCCGCCTCTCGGAGCTGCGCCACCGCGCCTCCCACCGCTTGCTGCTTGCTGCTCCAGCCCCGCGCCGGGGCTGGGAGCGGCCTGAGAGACGCGTTGCTCGGGGGCAGCGATCATGGGGATAGGCATGGGGGTATGCATCGACCCCCAATCGCTCATCGATCGCCGACAGGGGCCCGATAGCCCCCCAGCCTGCCCAGGGAGGTGCGGATTCACTACGAAAGGCCCGTCGCCGATCTGCGGGCGATGCGTCGCCGACTCCGGGTCGATGCGCCCTTCCCTATGCCAGTCCCCTCCAAATCGCCGCCCCTCGGTTGCTTGGCCAGCGAGGATAGAATGACGTGGTGGGTAACAGGTCCCAGAGTGGAGCCAAGGCCTCCGCCGTTTTCGGTGTCCGGGGGCCCTCGCCGGGCCTCGGGACCGTCGAGCAACGACTCGGGACGAGAGGCTGGCCTTGGGTCGGGGAAACGTGAGGCTCGAGTAAGCCGGAACTCGGGTTTGCCGACGTTCTCTCGACGAGCGCGTCTTGAATTTTGGCGGTCCAGTTTTCGTGGGATGTTTGCAGCGGGAGCTCGCCTCAAAGTTCAGATTGGGTCTCGCCATCTTTTATGATGGCCCCGTCAGGCCAACCCGAGTCCCCGGTACCCGAGTTTTAAGTCACTCCGATTGGGGTAAGGGGAAAGACTTCCGAGGACCCCGTGTTGGGAAAACAAAACGTCGGAGCTCTGGGACATGGGCACCGTGAGTGAAGTCGCGGTGTCGGGCCCCAGATGGAATGTGACCCCAGGAGGAAGAAAAGTGTCCAGAGAGGAAGGGGCCGATACTTCTTGGGGCCACCGTGTGCATCCAGACTCGATTTGAGAATGCGCGAAACCGACTAGCTCGTCAACCGATGTATAGGCGAACTGCACAGGCGATATGCGACATTCCAGCGGCATGTCAGGAGGGAGGTAAAGATGGAAACGACAAGCCAGACATCGCGGGTGGCAGGGACGGACGTCGTGAAGGCAGAGGTGATTGACTACACCTTGACACTGCAATGGTGTAGCGAGGCTTCTCAGCACTTCGAGGAGCTTCGGTCTTCCCTGGGCTCGCCCGCCTCAAGACCATGACACAGTAGAAGCTCGACTGGGCGACGAACATGCCAGGTAAGGGCAAGAAAGGCAAGGGCCAGTAGGATATATGGCAGCCCATGGAAATATGTTGAAACATTTTCTAGCAGCGGCGAGTGAATCAACATACGCACATGGTGCGTGGAAGGCCTGGCGGACACCAACATCGAACAGACGTGTTCGTATATGGTATCGAATCCAGTCGACGTCACAATTTTCCAAGAGACTCGGCGTCTGAAATTCGATTTTTGTCGGACTTCAACGCCAGAAATAAATAGTAGGGTGACGTGGAGTTGATCGTATCAGGACGCGCAGAGTATTTTGTTTCACTCCAGCTTCGAGCTGGACGGGAAGCGCTCGAACACGCGGAGACGCACCTGGACAAAATCAAGGTCAGTGGAGAGCAGTACATCATTGGAAACTTGAGCGCTCGATTTGGCCGTCGACAGAGGGGCGAGGAAAACCATATTAGCGATTGTATTCTCGGCCGTGAGGCAAAACAAACACTGGAGGTACCCAGAAGAGATTTGTAAATGGAGTTGCGTATCAGCCGGCGATGCGCTAGCCTATTCTTTCCGAACAGTTCCAGCAGGCTGGTAGCGTACTGCCACATTGATTGGCTCCGAGCCGGTGTTCCCGATTACCCGGGCTACGGTCGCTACGTTGGATGTTGCTCTCGTGCCGGTCGAATTCCCGCGGGCAGTTCGGAATTTACATAGCGGCTCATTGGTTGTGATGCTCATTTGCTCATCACTTCCCAGCGAACGCCAGCGTGTGCATTTTTCAGACGCTACTGACTTCGTGAAAGAGCTGGTCGAATTATGTTTTTCCTGCGATGTCTGGAAAAAAAGGTGAAGGGCGCGTTTCTGATTTCGTTTTTTCTTTTGCGCGACAAGGCAGTGGAATGATGATCATGATTGGATGCGTATGAGAAGACCATTTGAGCCAAGTTGAAGGCAGCAGTCAGCCAGGTAATCCCGGATATCCCACGCAGCAAACGTAGACCGTGAATCAGTGACGCAACATTGTGGCTCATCGAAGGCTCCGCTCAGGCAGCTGGTAGACACTGAGAACGAAAAGAGAGCAGCTAAGGAGATGAAGGGAGTCGCTTGCCAGCGCCGGGAGCGCTGGCTCTGGGCAGTGGTTTCGACAGGCACGTGGGCGTTTCCCACGCAGCTGCGATTTTTGCAACATTCTTGGAGAGAATGCAGTGGCGCGCGCGCCCTGTGTTTTTTGTTGGAGAGCGCACCAGCAGCGACGTGCACCCCCGCGGATACTCGTAAGGATCAGTTGTTCATGTGCATGATGCCGTAGAGTGATCTACGGGGTGTCCAGCGGCGAAGATGCGAAGCAATACGAGGTCCCGATTGGACTCGTCAAACTCGGGGCTGGACAGACCTCCTACCCTGACACGTCGATTAGTGCGGCTGTTTTCGGTTCGCGGGAGGGCGTCGCGGCCGTCATTTTTGCGGGTCCAGGTTCATCGGTTTCGGTCCCAGGCCGTTTTCACTAAGGGGAGGTCTGCTAAAGGGAGGTTTGTCCAGCGCCGACAAACTTCTGGCTGCGCCAACCAGGGAGAGTATTTGGCCATTGCTCGATGTCGTGAACGAGCGTCTTCTCCTGGAACAGGTACCCCACGAATGGATCATCGCCAGTGGCCGTGGTGTTTTTCAGGGAAACAGCCCCAGGTGTTCGGACAACTACCTACCAATGTGCTCGTTGGCGTTGCACGCCGCGTCTTGACTGGCACGTGGGAACAGCGCTTTCGAGTGCTGGCAGGCATCGCATCAATTACACTGACGACGCACTCGTAAAGGAATCATATGCCGCGCGCGTCCAAAGGTTCCCCCAGTCGATCGCCACTGCCGGACAGGCGCGCGGACTGGACATGCACGTCAACGAATGGCAGCTGCTGCAGACTGGCCGCCGCCAGATATTCAGATCAGGAGCCGCAGCTTGCAGGGCGGGGGATCCCTCGCGAATTTTGGGGGCAACCCTGACCTCCGACGGGAAGATGGCGACCGAGTTCAGCGGGGGGATCGGGTGGGCGAGCGCAGAGCTCCGCGCAGTAACGCGCATTTGGCGGCGCGCGTCCTCGAGAAAGTTGGAGTTGCATGTGGTCGCCGCGGTGATTGGACCCAAAATGCTATGCGGCTTGTCCGCCGGATGTTGTTCGAAAGATGATCTGCAGAGGTCTGTTGGCTTCCAGGCTACTTGTCTGCGAGTTACCATGGGCGCCGAGTCAGCGCAGCTGTTTTACAGGAGGCTGGCGTGCCGCCCACGTCAGACAAGCTCAGCGCCCGGCAAATCTTGCACGCCGCAAGGTCATGCGCTCTCCGCGGGGATGGCGCGGAGATGGCCTCTTTCATCACTGTCGCAGACGTCTCGTCCAACGGTCGATGCGAGCGATGGGGGGGGGGGGGGGGGGGCGACCGAGCCAGGAGTGGACGGGCGCAGTCAGGCCGCCGGGCATCTGGTTGTCGGGGCGCGAACAAGTCCGTGAGTGAGCGCAGAGGGGCCGTGTTTGAAAGGAGCTCGTATACCAGAAGTAACCTGGTCCACGCCAAGGTGCTGTAGAGATGTCTTGCTGGGTTGTCTTTCCCCCGTCCTTCCTGTTCCTTTCCCCCTTCCCGCCTTTGTTTGTCTTTGCTGGTCCATGTTGTTCTTCGAGGGCAATAATTGTTTTAGCGTGGCTCGGCGAGCCCACGGGCGCGCGGATCTCCGTGACCGCCCCCGCGCTAGTTGGTTGCCCGCAGCCTGCGACTCCGACTGGTCGAGTGGTCGTGGCCATCGTGCCAGACCGTGATTTTGAACTCGAGCGTCGCATTGACTATCGCCAGTCGGCGCGGCCAAAGCGCCAGATGTCACGCCCTTGGCGCAACGCCATTGTATTTGCTCAAAAGGGTGGCAATTCCATATGAGGCGTTCCCCGAAAGGCCGAGCCAGCCTTCGAGGAACGGAGGAGTTGTCTTTTTTTCTTCGGCGGAAGCTTCGCGAAGTAAACGCGCGCCCGTGATGGATGCATGTTGTTTTCGCGGGTCTGCTAGGGCCTGCGCTATGGGGCGACAGTCGCGCAGTGAATGGTGGGTGGAGCGCGGGGCGCGCCAGTTCCTGGCCGGGCGCGCGCGAGCTTGAAAGAGTTGGGCGGGCGCGCGCAACATCTGATCCCCATGAGCCATCCGTTGTCCTGCGTCAGTGGGATGCGGGGTTCGACCCTGGATGTCGCCATGTGTTTGAGGAGTTCCAAGTAGTACCCCGTCGCCCATCCAGTTGCTGGAGTCGTTGATCGGCGCGGGCAGGGTTCAGATTTCGCCGCTCGCTGGCCCCCGCGGGCCCCAGGGCGGCGCCGCTGCTGATGCGCCACGCGGCGCTCCCGAGAGGGGGAGTTGCAGAGGCGTGGGCCAGCTAGGGTCGCTGGCAGCTGAGGGCGACGCCGCCAGGAGTTCGCATCTCCGATGTAGCGATGTGTGCCGCTGGCGCGGCCTCGAGTTCAGCCGCAATGTCGAAAACGCCAGCCAGAGTGATTGATTGCCAGGTTACTGGATTCATGTTTGGATCGCAACATGGAGCCCTTCAGGAGGGAAGAGTGCAGATTGGACGACAGGGAGTTCGACACACACATATATATATATAGAGAGAGAAACAACAAAATGAGAGAGAGAGAGAGAGAGAGAGAGAAAGGGATATAGAGAGAGCGATAGAGAGAGAGAGAGAGAGAGAACAAACGAGAGAGGGGGAACTACAGCGAGAGAGAGAGAGAGATGCGGCTAAGGAGGAGGAGGAGGAGAGAAAATCAGGAGAGAAGAGGAGAGGAGGAGGCGGAGAAGAAGGATCATGATGAGGACCGCGAGCAGGACGAGGACTATCCCCTCTGACTGCTACTCGTCCGCTCATCTTCCCACTCATCTTCCTCATCTTCATCCTCTTCATCTCCTCAGCTCCTCTTTCCTCCCTCCCGATCCCTTCCCATCCACCTCCCGTCGTATGCTGCTGTTTCTTCTCCTCCTCCTCCCCTTGTTCCTTTGCACCACCATCATAGCATGACTCCGTTAACGGGAGACTTTGCACGCTCGATCACCCAGGGCGGGTGTCTTCGGATTTCAGCGTCGCGATAACCAACCAGGAGCGCGACGATTGCACGGCCATCACTATAGAGGCGACGAGCTTGTCTTTTAACTGCGGCTAGTTTTGTGCATGCGTTCGCATCGTTCTTCGGTTCGGCAAGCAAGCGGTTTGCGTTCTTAGCGCGTTTCCGCTTGACCCGCTGATCGGATAGCTCCGCCTCACCCAGCTGCCTCACGAAGCGGACAGAGGCCCATCTTGAAATGACAAGAGAAATCAAAACCATTGAACCACCCAAGTGAAACCAATGATGCTTGCCTTCTCGCTTTTTCGCATTTGATGGGAGTCCGAGGCTGCCGCATGACGAGGATCCGAAGAGGCCTCCAGAAGGCTCCGAAGAGCCCGCAGGAGACGCCCAAGAGGCCTCAAGAGGCTCCCACCAGGTCCAAGAACCTCCAAGAGGCCCCTGGAGGCCCCAAGATGCCGTCAGAGGCCCCAAGAGGCGTCCCCAGGAGCTTCGAAGAAGGCTTCCACGACGCCTCCAAGAGGCCTCCGGAATCCTCCCAAGAGATCTCCAAGACGGCCGCTGAGGAGCAGAGCTGGAGGTGGGTGATGGCGGAGGAGGAGGACAGGCATGACGGGGAACCCGAACGAGGAGGAGGAAAAGCAGGAACGGGAGGGGGAGGTCAAAGGAGGAGGAGGTGGGAGGAGGAAGTGGCCGGAGGGGGCGGGAAAAGGAGACGGAGGCGGAAGAGAGAATCCGAAGGAGGAGGCGGAATTGGAGGAGGCCGGAACACATGAGGAGGAGGAGGAGGAGGAGGAGGAGGAGGAGGAGGAGGAGGAAGAGGAGGAGGAGGAGGGCCGTAGCCATTTTGGCTCAAGTCTCACGGAGCTAACCTCCCGTGTGTCCCGACTCCCGAGGCTCGAGGTCGAGGGGGAGGGCAGCCCCTTCCGAGGCCTGGCTCCTCGGCCAGCTTTTCGCTTTCACGGTGTGAGCTCCTGCTGGAGCATCCCTTTCCACATTCGCTCCTGAGGGAGCAAGGAGACTTGAGCAGCATTTGGCTCATGGGCACAGATGACCGCACAGTCCTCAAGGGGCCGAAAACCCCGCACTGGGGATGTGGGCAATGTGGTAGGTCGGCAAACTGGGCCTCGCGCGTCAAGTGTGCATGTGGAGCCTCGGCGCCGAGATCAACAGTGGGCAAGGCAAAGGCGGCAGACAAGGCGGCTGGGGGTAAAGGGGGTAACGGCGGAGCCCCTGCGTCGGGACCCTGGGCTGCCAAGTTTGAAGCTCAAGCTAAGCAGATTGCGTCTCTCTCGTCCAAGCTCGACAAGCTATCCACAGCAGGTGGCAAAGGGCCTCGCCAGCAAGGGCAGGGCCAGGATGCGGGTGGCAAATCGGAGAAGGATCTGGAAGCCGACCAGCATCGCGAGCGGATTGAGAAGCTTATGGGTACGATCCAGAGCTTGGACGCGGATAAGGACCAGGCGCTCATCGAGAGCCTCATGTCCAAGGTCCAAGAGGCGAGGAAGTAGCTGCAGGGGCTCAAGCCACAGCTCACGCAGCACACGAATGCTGGCCATGTGTTGTCGGAGCTGGAGAGAAAAAATCGCAGGCTCAGCAGCGCAGGGCAGAGCAAGAGAAGGCAATCGAAGCAGCTAATGCCGAGATCGCCAAGCATAATGAGATCATCACGAGGTTGGACGTGGATATCGCGCAGGCGAAGCGCAACTTGGCCTCGACGATCCCCGACGACATCTTCTTCGACTGCCAGGAGGAGTTCGCGAGCGACGCCGAGGTCACGGCCATGCTTGCGTCCGATCCCTGGAAGCGGTACTGTACGAAGCTTAGGGAGCTGGGCAGGGCTCCTCCTCCTGCTGGCGTGGGTGGTGGGGGCGCAAGCTTCGTCGACTTGGAATCCGCGGACCTCGACGCCTTGTGGGAGAAATGCAAAGGAGAGAAGAGGAACCTCGGCGAGCAGCTCAGGGCAATGGGGTTCAAGCGTGCGCGTGCGGGGTAGCAGTACCGACCAGTGGTTATCTGTGGTGCGTGGTCAGGTGGACCCCACTGCAGACGATCCCACGGAGTGGTTTGATGCAGACGATGGAAGCCAGGGCCAGGTGGGCCCTCCGCCGAACAACATCTTCGATGGCCAGGTGGGCTCAGGAGAGAATAGTTTGTTCGACGTGTATTCCTTTGGTTGCTGGAAGGAGAAGTGGGGGGAGGTGCCGGGGCCAGGTCAACCTACGTGGTGTGCGGCGCCGACGGCTACCCCAGGGAGCTCGGCGCCGTGCTTGGGGTCCAGTTCCTCATCCCCCCAGATGCCATACTCACCCCTCCCTGTGAGAGGGGCAGAGGGCACGCAAGGAGTTCTGTTGGGGCCAGAAGCGCGTTCCGCGCAGGTGGGGGCTGCAGGTGCTGGGACCAGCGAAGGGCAGCGCACTGATTCAGGAAACGTTCCTGCGTCTTTAGCTCGGAACCGAAGGGATGCAAGAGGCTTCAATTTCTACTTTGCCAATATCACTAGCTTTGGTGACAAGGCCAAGGGCCAGTTCGCTGCTTGGACTGAAAACTCTCACTTCCCCTGCCGATGACAGCTCTTGGGCCCCGCAGCTCGTGGGCGTCGCTGAGCACCACCTGATGGGGCCCAAGGTCGCGGAGGCCAGCAAGAAGCTTGTGAAGCAGGGGTGGAAGGGCTCGCTGGCGCGGGCACAGCGCACGATCAATGGAGGTCGGCAAGGGCATGGTGGAGTTGGTGTGGTTTCGCGCTCGCATCTCCACACGGTGGCGCCCGCGGATGAACAGAAGTTACTCTTCCCAGAGCAGACGCCAGCGCTGCGCAGCCAGTGGGCGGTCCAGTGGGTGCGCTTCAAAGGAGTCGACGTCGCGTTCGTGGCGGCGTACTTCGTCGTGGGCGTTGGGCTGGGGGGGCCGAATCTTAGCATGCTCGCGGAGATCGGCGGCTACCTGCGCTTGCGTGGGCAGCCGTTCATCATCATGGCCGAGTGGAACATGACGTTGGACGAGATTGGGCCCGCGTGTTTTTACCGTTGCGTACAAGGTGAGTGGGTTTCAGCGGGAGACCACCCCAGTGGCGAGAAATTGATTGACTATATGTTGGTGTCGAGATCTCTTCGGCACGCTGTTGAGCTCTCCTGGGATGACACCTCCCCGTGGGCGGCCCCGCACATCGGCATCCGGGGCAGGCTCTTGAAGGAGGGGATGGTGCTCAAGCAGAGGATTGCCAAGGCCCCTCTCCCGCTCGCGCCGTTCATGATGGGGCCAGATCGGCCCTGGGTCGCGCATGGCGCTGGGATTGCGGACCTGGTCCTCGACGGCATGCAGCGCGAGGAGCTCCAGACGCTGGAGGGGCAGGAGAAGCAGGTCAGCGAGAGTTACATGAGGTTTGCTCTCACGGCGGAGCACCTGCTGCTGGAGAGGGAGGCGGGCCATGGCACGCGGACATTCTCGGTGGCCAAGCGGGGCTTCATGACCGAGACTCAGGAGGTGCTGGTCGTCCCCCCTACGCCCCAGGGGCGGGTGGCCAAGTCCTCGGGGGTTGCCAAGTGGGGGGCCCTTGATGGGGCGCCTCATTGAGTTCCCGGGGATGCTTAAAAAGGATCGTGCCATTCACCTTAGAGGGCGAGGATGGGATAGCCTGCAGAGACAAGTGAGCAGGTGCCAGGATGTAGGATGCGTGCTGCCAGATGGCGCCGAATCCAAGTTTTTAGACCAAGTTCGGAATTTTCCCTTCCTGGGGAAGGAGGGCCGCGCCAGGGCCCAGAAACTGTTGGACGAGCGCCGCAGGCTGGTTCGTAGGATCGAGCGTCACCACGGGAGTGAAGCTTCCAAGGGGTTTAAAGAGTGGGTCCTGGAAAGTTTGAAGAAGGGGGCGGGGGCGGTCCACAGGTGGGCCAAGACGTGGGGAAAGCCCAGACCTGCCCTCGCCCCCGAACGTGGTCCTGAGGGGGAGTTGTTGGTGGATCCCCGTCGTGTGATCGCCTCCAAGGCGGCTGTGTGGGAGGCGCTTTGGTGTCCGAGCTCTGGGGCCAGGCCCCCCCCCCCCCCCCCCCCCCCCCCCCTCAGGACCAGGACTGGTGGCCTGGGTTTCGGAGAAGTGCGGCAGAAGCTCGGGATGAGCTCCAGCCGCTCGCAATGGCTGGTCTAGAGACAGCGCTGTCAATATTCAGAAGTGTTATGGGGATGGGCCTGGATTGCCAGAATCCCAAGCTGTGGGCCCAGCTCCCTTTGGAGGGTCGGCAGGAACTGCTGACGCTCCTCCACCAGGTTGAAGAATCTTTGCCCTGGCCTAGGCAGGTTGGAGACAATGTAGTCCAGCTGCAGCATAAATCAGACGTGGCCGATCGGCCCATCACGCTTACTCAGGGCCTCTACCGCTGTTGGTCCGTGTCGCGTTGGGCGGTTGGAGAGGGGGGGGGGGGGGTCGCTTCTGGGACAGGGGGGTCAGAGGTAGTTCGGCTCTCAGAGCGGCGATCGCTCGCCAGTTCCAGCTCGAGGTTTCCACCATCCAGGGGTTTTCCTGGGCGGAGATCCTGTGGGGCCCCGAGAAGTTTTACGATCACCTCCAATGTTTGGAAATATACAAGCTTGCGAAAGCACCCCGTGGTTTGAGCTTTCCCTCGGCATGTCCATCCATTTCGCTCCGAGGAGAGTTCGAGCTGAGAACATAATCAGCGAAGTTATAATCCCGTGGCGGGGCATCTTAGCAGGGTGCAACCAGGATGTTGACGTAGCCAGGGTAGGGTTGTTTGCGATTTTGCAAGACTTGCACGACTCGTTTAGGCCCCTCCAGCTTGACACTTGGGTGGACGACTGTTCTCAGCGGGTGGTGGGGCATTCGCGGGAGGTGGTCTCGAAGTCGGTGCTTGTCGCAAGGAAACTGTGGAAGCTGTGCAGCCATGGGGGTCTCAAGGTCTCCAGTAAGTCGGCCCTCGTGAGTTGCCCGAAGCACCTTGCCACGGAAATTCAGTCAGCCCTCGCTAAGCATGGCCTGAATGTACAAGCCAATCAGGTAGCGAAGGATTTGGGAGTGGAGGCCACTGCCACCCGTCGCAGTGTTGCCATTCAGAAGA